TAAACATATCAGAAAACTCGACGGGGGCAGAGCGGCGGTCGGCACGAAAGGCACGAGACGGACGAAAGCTAGTCTTCACACAACCAGCGACAGACTAGTCCCAATGACCAAGTTATACATTAGCACTCGAAGGGAAGTACAACGCTATGGTCACTCACCTAGTCCCAATGACCAAGAGGTCGAGATGGGGACTAGGGAGCGCCTAAGGGGGTCCTTATATACTAGAGGGGCTGCTTAGCAACCAAGGACAAGGTGCGAGAGCGAGGCAGTGAAGATGACAAAGAGAGAACAAAGGGCGAGAAAGAAAAGGCAAGGGCATGGTGATCACGGGAACGTAGCATGCGGCTGTGGGAACGTATCTACAGTGTCCAAATTGGGATGGGCTAGAAAAGGAAATGGTCCGCGAATGGAAGGTGGGCGTCAAAGGGAGGGGAATGGGCGGCAAAAAGGGGCATCTGTCCAATGTCCGTGACACTGCCGTGGGTTCTCCAGCCGCCGGTACCATCTGATTTTTTCGCAAGACAGCGAGAGCTTCATCCATGGTCTGAATCTTGTCCACCACTGCCGTAAAGGTGGCTGTAGCCGGTGTGGACCGCAGTTGCTTGGTAGGCGGTGCGCCTGTCGCTACGGTTGTTGATGTCTTCCTTGTCTGCAAGGCGGTTTGTGGCGATGCTGCCGGTCCTCGCCTGGTAGCGTCCTGGGGCATCATACTGTCCGTGTGTATTGCTGCTGTTTCTCGTACGCTATAGACCGTCGCCCAGAGGGATAACTGACCGCACGACGTAGCCCGCTCCTATTGGCTGACGATCGTGGGAAAGCTGCCGTAGGTGGTGGTACGAGTGAAAGGAGCCCCCAATCGTACCTTTATCGTCAGTTTACGCAACGGTCAGCAGATAGTCGCCCGTATTCCATACCCCATGACTGTCCCAAAGTATTACGCCGTCGCCAGCGAAGTTGCCACTATCGAGTACCTGCGTTCCTCTGGGTTTCCTGCTCCCCAGATTTACGGTTACTCGCCTGACTCGGACAATGCTGCTGGGACCGCGTATGTTTTGATGGAGCTCGTTCAAGGCTCCAAGCTCAGTGAGGTTTGGCCTAGCCTAGAGAACCAGGAACTCATTTCCGTCGTCCGCCAACTCACCAGACTCGAGTCACAGATTATGTCACTGTCTTTCCCCGTTGGTGGGAGCCTATATTTCACTAAAGACTTGGAGAAAGTCGCCCCGGGGCTGGGCGTACTTTTGGATGACAAGCGCTTCTGCGTCGGTCCTGATGTAAGCCTGCCGCTGTGGTACGGGAGGAGGGCAAAGCTCGACGTAGATCGAGGACCGTGTACGTTGTTTATGGCCTTCTCATTATAACGTTCCTCCATGACCGATGATTATAGACCAAAGCGCCGAAGCAGTTCTCATAGCAGCAGCGCGTAAAGAACTGGCTTACCTAAAGCAGTTCGGACAACCGATCCTGCCGTTGCGGCGTGAGAGGAGGCCCAGCTACGAGTATCAGCCGCAGTCGCCGTCATATCACGTCGAGAACTTGGAGCGGTACCTCGACGTTATATCGTCACTAGTCCCCAGAGACCCCAGTCTCAGTCGTTTCTGCATCCGCCATCCAGATCTCCAACAGAATAACATCATGGTGTCGAAGTCGCCTGGCTCCGACTGCAAAGTCGTCGGGCTAATTGACTGGCAACACACCTCTATCCTGCCCATGTATCTCCTTGCAGGCATTCCCCAACGCCTTCAGAACCATGGTGATAGCGTCTCGCAGGCCATGACGCTGCCCCCTCTACCAGAGAACCTCGACCAGTTGAATGGAGCTGAGCGAGCCAGAGAGGAGTATCTCTATCGTCGTCGCCTTGTCCATTACCATTATGTCGCCAGCACGGAGGAGTGTAACCAGCTCCATCACGCCGCTTTCACAGACCCCTTCTACGCGCTCCGCGGCCGTCTCTTCCAACAAGCTCGTGCCCCGTGGGAGGGCGAGACTGTGGATCTGAAGTCTGCGCTAATCCAAGTCACGGAGAAGTGGAATGAGCTCACGGGGGGAGGCGTGCCGTGTCCCATCGAATTCGACGCTAAGGACCTACGCGAGACAGCGGTGCTGAACAAACAGCTGAGCGAAGCGGAAAGGGGCTTCAATATCTTGCAGGGCATGTGCGGCGTCGGGGAGGAGGGTTGGGTGTTGGCTGAGGACTACGAGAATGCTGTGGCGTTCTTGAAGGAGACCAAGGAGGAGGCGTTGGCGGGTGCCGAGTCGGTGGAGGAACGAGAAGAGATCATGTCTCACTGGCCTTGGGACGACATGGACGAGACGGAGTATATGTAACAAATCGAGCTAAATGCTCCGTGCTGTTACATCTTCTCTACAACCCGTATATATGGCTAATTGACCTCGGTCTTCCACGGCCTTGGATTGTCATCATTTGGATACGCGTTGCGATGTTGTACTGCAGATGCTGCTTTGTCTGGTACACCCTAATGATTCTCTATAGCTACGCGGACACGTTGACAACGATACCGGTTGTCTCGAGGGCCGCATTTTTGTTCGCCTGTCATCCAAATGAAGGCACGGTCAGTAGCAATCAGTCGAATAATGGCATTCCACTCACCCCAACCATCTGCAGGTGCGTTAGACTGAGGACGCTCGGGCCCTCTATCTGCGGCACGGTGACGTTAAACAACTGGTGCAGGCCCTCCTGCGGGGTGTTCGGGTCGAATTGAGGGTCAAAGAGCGACTTCGCAAGGATTGTGCCAACGCCATCCGCACCGGGAGCGGGGCAGGTACCACCGAGACACGGATCGATGCCGAGTACGATGGCGATTTGCACATCGTCGGTGGCAGCCTCCTAACGAGAGACATGTCAGAAAGGGATACGATGGATTCAGCGAATAGGTTTCGCACATCCTGGTGAACATTCACAACAATCTCGTCGCCAGCCGCGATAGTCGAACCATTGGCAGGTGAGATGATGGTCGCCTGCTGCGCGAGAGCAGAAAGTGCGAGGGAGACGAGGATGAAGAAACTCCGCATTCTGTTGTTGGTTAGATGTGTGTCAGGCGATTGGACTGAAGGCTTGAGCTTGTTGGTACTAGACTTGGCACCGTCTGCTCGCCCTTATACCACCGATGACCATGCTGAGGCCGAATTCTCAATGGTACCGTGCTCTTCGGTGACCGGTCGGAAGAGCACGAAATACCGGTTGAGCAGCGGCCGGTGAAGTGTAGGCCAACTTGAAGTCGTGCGTGTGACCGCCGGAGCAGCGCTAACGACCTGCCCATGTCCTCGCAGACCGGTGAGGTAAGTGATTCTCCTTGCTTTCGGGTCGCGCGTCTGTAAAAGAAAAGGCAGTCCGATGTCATCGGTACATCCGGGATACGACCGGCATCACAATCTCTCGTTTGGCCCGGTCACATTGAAACGCTGGGAGATCGGTGTTAGGGCCATGAAGGTGAGTCTCGTGTCCTTCTGTTACATCGCTTGTTGGTCTAGACCTTGCCTAGCCTCATCCGGGGCTCGATATGAAAAAGATGTTCATGAGAGCCATTGCTGTGTCAGAGTCGGAGGATTGCAGGTTTGTCGAGTCATCAATTTGTTGTATCCATGTATTGGCATATGCAGGATAGAAAGCCTTTCGCAGGACCTGTTTCTACATCGGATGATGATACTTGAGATCGGCACTCCCATCATTACCCGTCTGGTCCCGAAGGACAGTACCATAGTGCCCCGCCTGGCGATGACGGACCTTACGGAGTGTGAAGAGTGCATTCGCGTCGCCTGCCATCTCAGTTGCAGTTGCGGAGTCGATCGAACACGTCATGAATCCACACAGATCAGGCGAATATATGGAAGTTGAGAATGAATTAATCTCCCGGAGTGCAGAAAGCAGTCAAACGTGTCCCGACCGTGACCTTCATGTTTGCCGATGTCTCGGCACCGGTCCGGATTCCGTGTTACGCAAGTAAGTATATCACGACACGGCAGGCATTCCAATGTTTTCGACCAGAGAAAAGTAGATAAGAGCGGGAGGCAGGAGGCAACAGCCCGCCATCTTTCCCGGTTTCAATAACTTTGTTCTCAAAAACTCATGTTTTCACGACAAGTCATTCCGTGCCTCTCCTTGTCATCAATTTTTCTTTGGTCGAAATTCGGAATGCCGGTCGGGCGAAGATATCAGTGCCGTCGAGAACAATGTCTATGTAGAATGCCAGAAGTGATGACGTCGGTCAGCAGGTCTCCCACCCAACCAAAGTAAACCAGGATTTGAGTCCTTCGGACACCCGGGACATATGTAACCACGCATTCTCTTACGGTAGATATAGATGCTGCCGCCGGCCTGGGCAGTCTCATCGAGGAACGGCCCGGACATACGCACTTAACCCCGTTTAGACCCGCAGCAGCCATCAGATGGAATATTTGCAGTCATAGGTCAGGAACAGGGAGACGGAAGACGTGAAACTCTCCTGAGCTGTGGTGACGAGAGATTCTCAGCCATGTGCTAGTGGGAACAGCACTACGAAATGACGCACTCTATAGAAACATACGCTGATCACGAAGGAAAAGCGTGGAAGTACCCCACTGCATGAGACCAGTGAGGTTGTTCTATTTTCTGAGCGGATCGGCAGCCAGTGTCAGGTCCATACCCTGCTCAGCAGTATGAATGACAGCACCCTAAGGACATAGCCCGTCCGACTGATGGATCGAGCGAACAGCGTCGGGATAGAAGAGCAGCGCTCGGTTCAAGCCCATTCGCGATCGTGACCTGATGTTGCGCCCATGCAAGGCGGCAAGCGTAATGATGACAAGGGCGTTCATGGAGCTTGCTCACCTCGGGACGGTGATCATGAGTGATTGACTCCGCGGTCCGCACACAGTACGGGCCGTCGTTGAGCTGTCCAGGTATCACGACACCAGCCTACCGCCGTACGATTTCTAGGCAAATGGATGACGCGCGAATTCCAGCGGATGAGAGCGGAGTGTTTGGCGAGGTCCACGCGGTGATGCTTCGGACACGTTGGTTGGCATCTGATCTTCCACTCGTGAGCGGTCCCAAGGTCGCCTCAAGATTCATATCGCAAGAGAGCGGGGATAAACGTGTGTCGTCGCAATGCTTATGGTCTGGGCGAACGAGTGCGGTCTGCGACAGTGCGACTGCCTCGAGCATAACAGGCGCTACGGTATCTACCGAGATTCCGATCTACTGTCCTCTCCCGGCACTTCAAGTGCTGCTCAAGATCTGACCTTCAAAGCTTCACAACCCTGTCAATCGATTCCTGAGCCAAGGACGAACTGAAGGACTCCTTGCTGAAACTATGCACGTTGGGCTTGCGCGTGCTCTACACAAGGACTGCATGACAATCACGCAATGAAACATCTCGTTGATCCCCTCGATTTTCCAACTGAGATCGCCCAAGTTGTCTTCCGCCTCACAGCGACGCCGGGAATCAGGAGCCGAAATCCGGTGAGCCCCACATGACCAGGCCCTTTGCACCTTAGCCATAGCCTTGCTGATGCCGGCAACAATTCTTCTCTGTCAAGAAGTCGATCATCCCTTCCAATTCCAATGCAGGCTCAGGTCATGTACAGGCATCCTCTCTCGCACAATTTCTTTTATGTTTTTCGCCCATCTTTCCGTACCCCCGATACTCGCAAGAAGCGTTTCCACAAGTCTGAAAGATGCTACGTCCTTGATTCTGATGTTCTGCTATACAAAGCAGCGCGGCGGATTTAAGCCCGCCGCTGAACAGGCTCCCGCTCCACGTGAAGGAACGGCGTTCTCTAGGCCACAGAACCCCGCGTGGAGCATATCAGAATATTGTCAGGTACCTCGATATACTGGGAAGGGCCCAAGCAGGGAAAGCTTATGAGGCTTACCTTCTACTCATCCCAACTGCACATGACATCGTCAGGCGTCACCGTACGTGGTCTCGTTGGGGCCGTCTTTGGGACAATGTTCCCGCGTATTTGGGCCCTCACCGAGAACGCAAAACATACCGGCGGCCCGCTCGCCTAAAGAAGTCCGGAATATCTCGTTCACAGAAGCAGTCAACGCACGTACGTCATTTCCCCGTTCCGCTATAAGAACGACGCTGATGTCCACCTGGCCAGTGTTGCACAACGTGCTGCTGCAGTCATGCTCTGGCATCAGTGTTCGTTGTGGGCTTCTCATGCCCTCCTCCTCCTGAGCTTCGTTCTTTCCGTGTTGCCAGTTTCGCTCTCTATAGGGGCTGCAACCTTGGCCTCGCTAGCCGATCCGCCTCGCAAATCGAACGGGCTGTCCGACGTCGTACAATGGGATAACTATTCTCTCTTCGTGCATGACCAGCGCATATTCCTCCAGTACGTAGCTCCTGTACCTACTACGGAGACTCGCGATGACTGTGTTCCAGTTCGGGAGAATTCCATACCTTCCGCCTCCCGGTACCTGACCTCTGGCTCGATATCTTCCAGAAAATGGTCGCTGCGGGGCTCAATGGTGTCAGGTGTGTTGCCTCTTTGTGGGGCTTGTAGGCGTCATCTGATCATGTCTCCGCTACAGTATCTACATCCATAGTACGTCGAAGCGCGCTCAACCAGCTTCGATCGCAGTACTCATGGGTTGTCTCTACAGTGGGCGCGACTAACCCTTCACGTGGTGTACTTGACTTCAACGACTGGCGTGCACTCCAGCCCATCTTTGATGCTGCGAAGCTGGCTGGTATCTTTGTTACGCTTCGCCCTGGTTAGTCTCCTTCCCCGGTGTCCCTTTTGTTGTATATCTGACCAGGTAATCACTCAGGACCCTACGTAAGACCTCTGGTGTAAGATGGAGTAAATGACGACTCAACTGCTATGTAGATCAACGCTGAGACGACCGCGGGTGGCATTGCCCACTGGATCACCAGCGAAGTCGCTGGGGCGCTAAGGTCGAATGCATCCGACTGGACCGCTGCCTACCAACCCTATATCTCAGGTATCATTGACGCCGTTGTACCCAACCAAGTGACGGAAGGCGGGCCAGTACTTTGTACGTGATAGCTTTGGTGGCTTCCATTGAGCCGTTTGTTGACCTCAGGGTGACTTCTAGTCGTTCAAGTCGGCGAGTATCCGAGGTTCAGTAGTGCTCGTCCAATGGCAATGGGCTAATACTTTGTATCAGACAACGAATTCAGTCAGTTTGATACATCTGAAGCATATTTCGCGGACCTCGAGGCGCAATACCGTAACGGGAGTGTGGTAATCCCTCTGTAAGCTCACGACCTCTCTATGCTTCTTCCTCTGATCATTCTCCATCACCTGTAGCACATACAATGATCCAGGAGAGGGCAACAACTTCATCAATGGCACGGGCGCCGTTGATATCTATGGACTCGTCAGTAGCCTTCACACCACGTATGCAACCTGTTAACATGCAATGCAGGATGCCTATCCGCAAGGTTTTGACTGCTCGAACCCTACTCGCTGGTCAGGCGTCACCACAAACTATCATTCCTACCATGAGTCCGCCGACCCAGCCGAGCCCTGGTACATGCCTGAATTCCAAGGTACAGCGTCTGTCATCTTCTTCTGGTCTTCGTCAACTCACCTATCGCATTGCAGGAGGCGCATTTGATCCTTGGGCCGGACCTGGTTATGATGCATGCGAGGTGCTCACTGGCGCCGACTTCGAAGACGTCTTCTATAAGCAGAACTGGGCTGCGAACGTGAAACTGATCTCATACTACATGCTATACGGGCAAGCATACCGCCGTGCCCTGACATGCCTTGCGTTTTCTAACGATCGTTTGTAGAGGGACGAGCTGGGGGGGTTTCCCTTTCCCTGGGGTCTACACCAGGTAAGTTTCCGGACGCTCCATGTTCAATGGTCTTCTCATTCACTTCTCAATAGTTACGACTACGGCTCATCCATCCGCGAGACACGCGCTCTCAGCGCTAAGTTCGACGAGCTCAAGCGCCAAGGACTGTTCCTCCGCTCTTCGCCCGAGTTCCGCAAGACCGATTGGATCGGAGATACAAGCACGGGTATCCCTGAAGTGACATTGAACGGCAGCGCTGCTTTTGTTACTCTGTTGAAGAACCCGGACACCAGCACTCAGTTCTTCATCACGCGTCAAGCCGATTCGACCTCTACGTACGTTTCTATCCTATGCTTCTAGCACACAATGCCCTCTAACTACAGACGGATAGGGCCAACATATCCTTCACCCTCACTGCCCCGTCCTCCCAAGGCACGCTCACCCTTCCACCGACAACAGGTAGCATTGCGCTCAATGGACGGCAGAGCAAGCTCATTATCACCGACTACTCCTTCGGCGCGAGAGGTTCCGTGCTCTATACCACCGCCTCGATCTTCTTCGCTGGTACAATCGGCCAGCGTGATGTGCTCTTCCTCTTCGGTGATGCGAACCAATCTCACGAATTTGCGCTCACCTTGGCGGGTTCTGGCACGCGCTCGACTTCCACACGTTTGGAGTTCTCCGATTCGACCGTCGGGAAAGGGATCACGAACGTCGCAGTGCAGCCCGGTTCTAACGAATTGCTCACTATCTGGGACTCCCCTTCTCAGCTCATCCTTTTCGCTGATCCTGTCACTGCCGCTACCTTCTGGGCGCCAGCAGTCAAGTCTCAGACCCGGAACACCGTCCCCGGCTTCGAGTCGTTCTGGCAGTTCGGCACGAACACGACCGTCCTCGTTGGGGGCCCCAACCTTGTCCGAAATGCGACTATATCAGGTAACACCCTCGCACTCCGTGGCGATTTGAATGCTTCTGTTCCCCTCACTGTCGTCGCGCCGTCCGCGGTCAAGCGAGTGACTTGGAACGGTGCACCAGTCAGCGTGCAGAGCTCAGGAGCACTCCTCACTGGTCGCTTGACCCAAAACGCGAACGTACGCAGAGTGACTGTACCGAAGCTGACGGGGTGGAAGTTCAACGATAGTCTTCCGGAGATCCAACCTGGGTTCGACGACTCGGCCTGGACTGTCGCTAACAAGACGACAACGAATATCAATCTGCAGCCTCTGTTTGGTGACGGCAGAGTGTTATATGGTATGTCCGCCGTTACTCGCACTGGCGTGTGCAGTTGCTCATCGCAATCACTTTCAGGGTGCGACTATCAGTTGTAAGCGTGTTTGTATAAACCTCGTCTACATGCCTCTAAGTTTCGTAAAGTTGCGAGGGTCATGTCTTGTTCCGCGGCCACTTCAACGCCACTGGTTCCGAGACAGGAGCGAACCTGACTATCTATGGGGGTTCAGGTAAGTCAATACGTTTCATTATGTTAGTTTGACTCGTACTCATCTACTCCTCTAGGCTTCGCCGCCTCCGTCTTCATTAATGATCAATTTATCAGCACTGCCTTCAACGGTGGTGATCACGTTAACGCTCTCTTCCCCTTCCCCGATGGATCGATCATCCCAGGACAAGATAATGTTGTGACTGTCGTCCAGGATAACATGGGCAACGACGAAGATTCGGGTGAGAAGTCCCCCCGAGGCATCGCAGGGTTCTCATTGAACGGTGGCACGTTCGACACCTGGAAGGTGCAAGGCAAGGTTGGCGGCTACACCAAGTGAGATAGTGGTTGGCCATCCCTTCCTCTGCGAGCGACACTGATGCAGGTCGACATAGCTTCCCGGACAAGGTTCGTGGTGTGATGAATGAAGGCGGACTGTTCGGCGAGCGCGAAGGATGGCATCTTCCTGGCTTCGACACTAGCAGCTGGACCGCGCGCGATATATCCGAGGGTCTCCCTAGTGGTGGCGCAGGTGTTGGGTTCTTCGTGACCACCTTCGACTTGGCGTTCCCGAAGGACACCGATGCATTCGTCAGCTTCCAGTTCGAGACCACGAATACGCAGCAGTACAGAGCCCTCCTGTTCGTGAATGGATGGAAATACGGCAAGGTAAGGGATACGTCCTTGTCGCAAAGCAGGTGGACTAAATGTGTTCTGCTAGCGCGTGGCGAACCGGGGTCCACAGACAAAGTTCCCTGTACACCCTGGCATCCTAGACTTCAACGGCAAAAAGTAAGTGCACTCCGCCTTGCAGAAAGCCAGAGCATTCACATACAAATCGCAGTACTGTGGCGGTTGCCCTTTGGGCGCTGAACAGCACTGCTGTATCTCCGAGCCTGGAGCTTGTCGTTGACGATGTCTTGGACGGAGGTGTAGGCACCGTCGCGACGAACAACCCCGTTTGGGAGCCAAGGTCGTGAAAGATCCTCTCACAGCACACTCTGTGATCTCGTATGCAATATCACATAGCGAATGAAGTACTTTTTGTCTGTAGCCTCCGATGTAACACCCCGCTGTGAATGATCAGATGCCAGTCGGGCAAGAGGTGCGATCAGTCAGATCAACGAAGCCGCACCGAAACGCTCTAGACGTGTGGCCCTCTTGGGTTCTGCAGAATTGACATGCGAATACAGTGGAACGCAACCGCCCGCCTAGCTCACGGATAGAGCGCCAGACTCTTAGGAGTACGGGGTTGACTGGGTGATCTGAAGCGAGTTCGACCCTCGCGGTGGGCTAGTCTCTTTGCTTCGTCGGGACCACACGTTGATTCCAAAATACTTTCGCGAACGTCTCCCCGCGAAGGACCGCCCGCGGCAGAGAGGAGGGGTTCAAACAGATGACCGCAGACAGCCACGCTGAGCCTTTCCCCCTGCCTCCCCTTATACGCGAGCCGCCATGCTGACAGTCGTCACCCTCGGCCAGCTCTACACTGTTCGCATTCAGTACATCACTACAGCGCCCCTACGTACACCTGCACGCTGTGTTTGCATCAGAATCATCTGATCCCTTATACCTATGTGTTGCGGGCATCCGCCCGCTCTAGAGGCGGGGAAGTTCTGACGACCGGCGGGGATACTGCCGGGCGTACTCCTGACCGCCTGAGCAAGAGACGAGTCCCAGGGACGCAATTGTACCCACATGGCGGCCAGTTTGCATCCCGTTCCCTAGCCTTCGTTGGCAGAGGGTGGACGGATGGTCGCAACGCACAGGTACTGAGCCCTCCCAACCCCACTTCTTCCGGTCCTCGCCTTGCTTTTGCCCTATCACCGGATTGCGCGCATTCAGTTCGTAACGCTTCCACGATGACTCCACTTCTGGACTTGTGATAGGGGCGGCGTACGTACGCTCGCGCAGAGAGACCAGTTATGCGAGTGGCGTGGCCTACTGCACAACGTGATGCTTATCAACACGTACCATCGCCTTTGTGCTGAACAGCCGGACGGTTCCAACTCGAACGCCATGTGCCCGCAGTCACGCTCCACTGGACATGGAACTGCCAGCGGTAAGCTCTCCGACAGCGCTCAAATGATGTTTGGCTCGCTATTGACCTTCAAGGGTTTGACAGACGTCGAGATTGCGATGTCTTACCTGTATCATTCGAGGAATAAGCGTCTGGCAGAGCGGGGTCCCGGATGAACGTGATGGATGCTCCAAGATTGCCATGGACCATGGCACCTGAAATGAACTATCGCTAGGCTTGTCTCTCTCTGGTGATTGCAGTAAGGCGTAAGTGCAGAGTTTGCGATGCAGATCTTGTCGTACCGGGTCGCTAGCCGCATCGCCATGAAGTTTTTTGCGGCGCTGTTGCTGCTGCCGAACACCGCGTCCGCAAGTAGAGCACTAGACATGTGAATTTCCGCACTCCCCTTAGCGGTATTGTGACTAGTGTCGGTGGCTACCCAGCGGTGATGACGCTACCAAAGGGGTAGATCATGATCTACAGACGAGCGCACCTCGATGCCGCCTGTACCCGGAAAACAGCCTGGAGAAGTGCGCTGTTCTTGTGCGAGACGTTGATCTAACCCAGGCCTGCCCCATGTCATTCAAACAGCACCGAAGTCACCATGTATGTGGACACATACGAGCTCTCGACGCCATTGGCAAAGCTGCTCGCCTTCTTGCGCCGTCTTGGCCTGGCCAGCATAGCGCACGTTCTTGACGCTCATCCTCTCCTCAGCTGAATGACAACCACCCGAACTAGAAACGAAGATGGACGGAACAGTTCTCGACCGCCACCGACAGCTCCGCGACGTCCGAATGGTCTGGCACCAGGGCAAAGCGCCACAACGTCACATCGTACCACAGCTGTGTTGTTCCGAGGCATTTCTCATTCTCCCCCACGGAAGCAGAAGACGCAGCAGTCAGTCAGCCCACTAGCGTTAACCCCACTCGACGACGAGACCTTGATAAGGAACATAAACTCACACATGATACGACCGCCCTTCACGATTTGATTCGGCCGAAGACTAAAGAAGGCTATGGGCGGTACACCGTGTGGCCCCGCATCTCCCATGCGACGCCGTCTCGTTGACCACAGCGCAAGCCCGCCTGAGCTCGGTGCCGCGTTGATATCAGGGGCCACAGCACGGGAGTCGCCGAGCGTGGCTCGATGGAACTGAGGCGGGAACGCGAGATCTGGAGGTTGCAGTGCGAGGGACCTGGAGGCAAGGCACGATTGCGGGATAGACATCATACATTCATGGGTTTCGACGAGGTCCAAGCCACGTGAAACGCACATGGGCAGTACACAGGGAGCAAGGTGGGTCTGGGCGTATAAGGCGGTGACGGATATACCGTGAGATTCGCAATATCACAGACTGATCATAGGCCGCACGAACCTTGCAAACATCGCTTTGGCTGATTCTTGGTGGCGGTACTACGGTACGGTACATGGATCAATAGGTCGGCCGGGATACTGCACCCAAGGGTTTCAAGGAACGAATGTTCGGTATATGCGTGGCAGACGCATCGTGGCATCCTGGCCTCTTCGGTAACCTGCACCATTCGCATCTGCCTCGATCATTTGAGTGATGCCCAGCCACGATGCCCGAGAAGGCTGGAGGAATGCAAGCAATACGCGGGAGCTGTGGCAAGTGCGAGAGAATACATTCAATGTCAGGTTGATGATGGGGCCGACGGGTCCACGGATCAAACTTACTTCAGTTTTGGAAAGCCGGGCAGATCGTGCAGGCCGGGAAATACTCAACCGAAGCCGGCATTGAGCATGTGCGGGATGCAGTAGAACATGTCTTGCGCTGCCGACCACAGGGTTTGCACGACGTGTCTGGGGAGGCATTGCTGATACATATGACGGCTTTCTCATGCACAGATGTCGCGTGCAGATAAAGTATGGAAGAGATGAGTACGAGAGACGCATACATTCATCCGCGTTCTTCTGCGCAGAAGACAAGCTCAAGTCTTGAGGTCGATGACGAGTCAACACGGCCTCCTTCTAAGATAAAGCATGCCCACGGTCGCCACCGATGCCTCGGAGAAGGCCTGAACGAGAGACTATAAGAGATGTTGAGTCTACTACATTGCGGTCCGGGCACTCAGGCAGCGGTGGGAACAGCAGGGGTAGCAGTCGGTCTAGGAGACAGGGCGAACAGTGGAGGCCATAGTTGGCGAGATGAAGCAGGGAGAGGGAAGTTCGGGGGAAGCACGACGAGAAGCATGGTCGTCCATATGTCCTCGCCCAACCGTCTTCCATAATAGCCTGTCGCAAGAGAGGCCCGCCCCGGAGTCGAACAAGGACGGCCGTGTGGCGCCGGCAGACGGGCGAGGCTTCGGCCCGTGCATCGCGCACAAAATCTGAGATGCGATCAACTTGCACCGCCCGTGCAAAGGAGCGCGAGATTCGCTGCTCCTCCCCAATCCGCCCGTTCATCCGTCGCGCATTCAAATCAATGCTGGCCAGCCTTCGTCATGCACAACGTAGCATCTACACCTGAGGCATGCAACGGCAGTGTGTATACAACCCGCACTTAACGTCGGTTTCGAAGGAGCAGCTGATCGATGACACTGACAGCTTCAACTTTCCCTCGCATTGCCACATCGTTATGCGCATTTCTCATGCTCGCCAGGTGGACGTTAAACGTTAAGGGATGAAGCGTCCTCGACATGGCCCAAACTTTGTTGGGTGGCGGTTGTTTCCATGACCTTGGTTAGCAGCTTCGATTACATGACATTGCCGGAAGCCCGGAGCACACTGGAGCGTAATCCTCCCGGATCTCTCGGATATGCAAGCCCACCCTGACCAGCGTGTCGTGATGCACAGCGGGAGACGCAGAACGACTGTCGTAAGGCGGTATGTCTTGCGTAGACGGCGCGATATTCATAATATTTCCCTCGCTCTTCGGAGGCGGCCCTCTTTTGTAATTCGGCGGGATTCCCACAGCTGCCAAGTGCCCTATGCGATGGGCGCTGCTACTTACTTCCGTCCACAGCGGATGATTGGCTTCCATTCTCAACCTTCTTTGCCCACGACCTCCAAGACGCAGTCCGTTTCCGCGGAGGCCAGTCGGCCTCTCTGACTGCCGTGGCTCGGAGGATGACGTGAATTACCAGGCAAGTCTTTCTCCCGCCTCTAGGAACGGGCGAGCTGTGGCTTCCTGCGCCGGCCTCCTGCCCGGCAACCATCGCTCGCATGTAGAAGGTCCGAGTCATGATCGCGTCTCGGGCGACAGAACGGATCGGCCAACGACCTGTCATGACACTCCGCCCGCCATTCGACCCATTGACGTTACACGAGGCTATTCCCGAGAGCGGCGCAGGCGCACCGCTCCGCTCCCGCCTCCCATATATGCCTTCCATATAATCCGCCATGTCTACTCAGCACCCGTTCCCCCGCCCCGCTGTCTACACTCCCTCCGTCAACCGCGCCATTCTGCTGGGCCTGCATGACGATGGCCGACATCGAAAAGTGTCTCACGAAAGAATCCTCAACGCTCCCGCTCCACGACGACTCCTCGGTGACGCTGTCGGTGACCGCAGTCGACGAACCACGGTCACACCCGCCCTCCGTCGCCGACTCCAGCGCGTCCTGCCCGGACGGCGGCGCGCGAGCATGGCTCACCGTCCTCGGCGCATTTCTCGCGCTCTTCTGCACGTTCGGGCAGCTGAACTCCTTTGGCTCCTTTCAAACGTGGTACAGCGAGCACCAGCTAAACGGCTTGCCCGCGTCGACAATCTCCTGGATAGGCTCGCTGCAACTATGGGTGTTCTTCTTCTGCGTGAGTTCGGGCCCCTATATGCGGTCCGCGGAGATGACTGATCGACACGTACGCGTATAGGGGGGCTTCGTCGGCCGATTATTTGATGCGTACGGACCGCGACCAATAATGATCGTTGGCACGCTCATACTCGTGTTCGGCACGATGATGACGAGCATCTCGTCACAATACTATGAGTACATCCTCGCGCAAGGCATCGTGGTAGGCTTGGGAATCGGAACTGTGTACGTGACGGCTTAGTATTCTCCGCGGTGTTGCTCATCTAACTTGCTGTTGCCTTTAGATTCTACCCGAGTCTTTCCGCAATCTCCACGCACTTCCACAATTACCGGAGCACAGCGCTTGGCATTGCCATGGCAGGGTCAGGAGTTGGTAAGTCCAACTTCTATAGTTCCTTTTAAGCCAGCTCTGAAGCAATGTTATCAGGCGGCGTAACATGGCCCATCATGTACCAGGTTCTCTTCAGCCGGTTAGGCTTCGCGTGGACCGTGCGCATTACTGGATTCATCACGCTCGCCCTATGCGGTGTCGCAATAGCTACGGTGACGAGCAACATCTCGACGCCGACTCAGAGCCAACCGTGGCTGAATACGCGAATGTTCCGCGACCTTCCTTATATCCTGGTCATTATCGGAAGCATTCTCATATGCCTAGGTACGCATATATCCGCTTCCAGCTCTGGTCTTCATAGCTCACCAGCCTTTTAGGTCTCTTCATCCCCTTCTTCTACATCGTCGACTACTCCACCGCGCACGGCATACCTCCCCAAACCGCCTTCTATGTCCTCTCCGTTATGAACGCAGGCGGGATCCTCGGCCGGCTCGCGCCCCCCGTGCTGTCCGACTCGCTCGGCCGGTATAACATTATCGTACCTTGCGCGTTCCTCACGGGCCTATCCATGCTCGTCTTCTGGCCGTTCGCGACAAGCCTCACGGCAATCATGCTCTTCGCCGCCGTTTACGGCTTCTTCTCGGGCGCGTTCAATGCGCTCATCATTCCCTGCGTCGCGCAGATATCAGAGCTCAGGGAGATCGGGACGCGCGTCGGCGTGTTGTACAGTATCATTTCATTCCCGTAAGTCGCCTTCTCTTCTTGTTTTGAGCCGAGGGTTCGCTTGCATGCACGGCTGAGCGCTGGCGTTGACGTTGATTTGATTGGGAATGACAGGGCGTTGTGTGGCGGGCCAGCAGCAGGCGCGATCCTCAAGTCCGAGGGCGGGTCGTACCTTGGCATGATTCTCCTGGGAGGAACGTCAGTCGTCGCGGGCTCATTGTTCTTGCTCTGGGCGCGGTGCATGCTCAGCCGACGGACAACGGAGCCCAAGGAGCTGTCGCGACTGCTCCACGTCGTATGATCTCCTCGCTGTCTCCGTCGTTCTGCTGCAAGCCCGAGCTCGGAGCCCGAACGATCGTTTTCTGATTGCACCATGTGGTTCCCGCCCTGGCCCGGGGCGTTGGGCGTGTTGTAGTTTGTTCGCATCCGATTCTGGCATTGTGCTCTTCTCTTCTGCTTCTGCACGTGTACGGCGTCATACATACCCCTCTCATCCGCTCTCATCTCGTCTCCCATCGCACTGTATCATTATTCTGTAACATACCCCCTGCATTCTGCGTCCCACATCCCTGCACGTTACCCAGTGTGCGTCTCATGACCCCGGCACGACTACTACTTACACGTATTTCGCTAACCAGTATGTACGCGCTCTAAAGCTCATCATCATCACGAAGCTGTTAATCATGACAAAGTTCGAACCCTCGTGGCGCCTCTGCTCCCTGGCCATCGCTCAAGAACCCAGCTCGCCCCTGACGTTCTCTTCTGACGTTCTCTTCACGAGAACAAGGCGTTGCGTGCGCGATCGAATCCGACGCCGGCCCCCGAGATCGTCGAACCGCCGCTCGACCGGAGTTGCGCTCGCGCACGAACGATCGTCTGTTGGGGACTCGTCGACGGCCGCAGCCCGGATTCACGCGTCTCAACTCTGAATCCCACCCCGCCCGCGCTGCCGCCGCGTCTACCGTGACGTGGGTGGCAGACCTTCTACGGTACTTCGCCCCCATAGCCCCATTCTATTCTACGCTTATCCGCATTGGGATGTGCGCGCACGCGCGACGGAGTCCGACAGCGCTCCGGTGCTGATTGAGACCTCTTTGTGCTAGTGCTTTCTGTTGGTACTAGTTGCTTGTCACGAGACGGTCACACGGACTGGGGAGCGGAATAAGACAGCGATGAGCATGTTCTGAGCGCGCGAGGACCTGGCGTCCGAGGAGCGTCCGCGTCCCTCTTGTTGTGTAGTCCTGGGACTGCCGGTCGGGCGAGGCAAAGGCGTGAAGCTTGAAGGAGGTCGCGTTACCGACAGGCGATCACACGGGAGGGAAGCCGACAGGTATGCGCGAGACGCGGCGTTTGGTGGCCTCGTGGGTGGAACAGCCGAGCGACTCGGACGTGCAGACTCAAAGCGAGACCGTTGACAATATTTGGCAGTCCTGCTGAGTGAAGTCTTCACTGTAGGGTGTAGTGTAGCGTGTACAATCACAGTGCCGCATTCCAGAGTTCCGCACAGAGAGTCCCAGGGAACGCACAAGCTTTAGTATGTGTCTACGTGCACAGTAGAATGCCGCACGGAAAATTCGCGCGAGCACTAATCCTCGTGCGCCTATTCTGAACTTGCGTAGCGCGCGCTTGCATGCTCCCAGAACTGAACCTGCTTCGCCAGTAAGAATTGTGGCGGCACCCGGTTGACCTCTTACGGTCACATACTGTCTCCCCAGTTCTCACTAAGGTGAGCTCTGTGCACATCTGTGACTGTGGTTGCTTTGCCAAGGGCGCCCTGATGACCATTGATCCTACCTGGGACCACGATTCGGATCCTTTCAAACGTCTCATTGATTCTCGCTGGCAGAGACTTGAATCAGCATCCTATCTGCTCTCCCTATGCCGACTCTCATCGAGAAGTTGTCCGTGAAACAATCTCTCGCAGAAGCACGTACGGTTGCAGAGCGTTGGCATGGCTCGCCCGCCGTGTCCGCGCATATGACCGATTTGCAGGGCATGTTCTCCAAGACGATCGTCGTCGAGATGGAGGACGGCTCGGAGTAGGTCGTCCAGCTGCGCGACAACGAGATCGACACTACAAAGGTGACCCTGGCCCGTGCAAAACTCGGCGCGGTGGTGCCACCCGTGCACCGCACCGCGCCCTCCAAGGCGCATTTCGCGTTTGTCGCGCCGTTTGTGCACGGCACGGTCTGGTGCAACAAGGACGGACTCGCGACGGATGCGTTGGTCTCTATCGCCATGCAGATCGGAAGGCTCCTCGCGCTCTGCGCCCTCGGGGAGAGTAGCGCGGCGATGGTCGACACGTACGTCCTTCCGCGGCTCCAATACATCATGTCGCGCTCGCTCTCAGATGAGCCACATGAGTCCCTCCGCAGCCGGATTTCAGAGCTCGTGTCACGAGCTCCCGCCACTAAGATCCTTTCGTTGGCTCTCATCCACGAGGACGTCAATGCTATGAACGTAGGTGTGCTCCATAGTAAGCGTAACATTTCTACAGGCTAATTGTCTACGCAGATCATCCTAGACGACGCGAACAACATCGCGGCCCTCGTCGACTGGGAAGCCGCCTCGCTCCTGCCGCTCGGCACGAACGGCTGGTGCATCCGTTTCCTCTCCACCGTCAACCGCAAGCGCGTCGACTACGAGACGGAGAACACGACCCCGATGGCCGCGGGCTTCTGGCGCGGGTTCGTGGACAGCCTCCCCGCCGAGCTGCGGGACAGGAATGACGTCCTCGACGCCGTCGTCACCGCTATGCAGATCGGACTGGTGATGTATGAGTTCTGGCCTGGGAACGAGGGTCTGAGCGCCGCTCAGATGGACCAGTGTCTTGCGAGGCTCGACTGGCTCGAGGAGACCTTCCGTCCGATGTCAGGAGCATGAAGGGCTCATCTTGCACCTTTCTTGCCCTTTGCTATACAGTTCTGCGATCCCGCAGTCTTCAGGATCGCCATCCTGTTCCACCGTTCTGGCACCCTGGTGGACTGCGTTGCACCGTATGCACATCATGTTCTTCAGTCGGTACATGAATACCGGCTGCAATGTGTCCTTATAGCAGGTGGCAACGGAATGAATGCTGGTATGGATCGATCTTCTGTACAATGGCTGTGTGGGAAGGGATGTCTGACCCAGAAGATAAGGGCACCGCCTCTGTACATCAAAGATTGCTCACGAGTCACTTAATGCTCTTTCCTCCTGCCTCACCCTGGTCCCCAATACTCGACAAGCGAGGAAGGGTCATACATCCATTGGGCGTCCAACAAGAGCTCCTTCCGACGTGACTTAGGTGTCTGCGAAGTCAAGCTACGCTCATTGTAGGTGCACAGACAAATCGTTCTCTTCTATTCAGTAGGCTAATGGTCCAACTCATATGATGAAGACGCGAACACTATGCGACTCCTTGACACAGAAACTGGTCAGTTCGTAGAGAAAGATCCTCGGGAGACGATATATGCCATCTTATCGCACACCTGGGATCACATACACGGCGAGCAGACGTACGATCAGCTCAAGGGGCTCCAGAGCCGATACGACCCGGAGCGCCAACCCAAGCTGACCAGAATCTTTCGTCATCCTCAGGCCTATCAATTCTCTTCAGATCCCCAGGATCGACCATCACAACTCCCTTCCCTGGTATTGCGTCGGACCTTAGGACACCTCTCCCGCTTTCTCACGCCATTCTCGCGCTTATTCCGCTTTGCGAGGTTCCCTCGTTCCTTCTGGGACGATCCCAGGCTCTCACCGAAGGTTCGGATGGCATGTGCAGTCGCGCGTGCGGAGGGCTACCGATACATCTGGATAGACTCATGCTGCATCGACAAGGCTAGCAGCTCCGAGCTCTCAGAAGCTATCAACTGCATGTATGCATGGTACGCAGGCGCAGACGTTTGCTACGCATATCTAGCCGACGTTGCGTCAGTCGAAACACCTCGTTCCAAATGGTCGCCTTTCGGTAGGAGCCGGTGGTTCAAACGCGGGTGGACGCTCCAGGAGCTCATCGCGCCCAATGACTTGCGGTTCTTGTCAAGAGAATGGGAGTTCATTGGATCGAAGCACGACCTCGCAAGGGTACTCGAGGAGATCACCGGGATCAGCGAAGAAGCCTTGCGGCACGAGATGGCCCTGGACGAGTTCTCTGTGGCGCAACGGCTCTCGTGGGCGTCTCAACGACAGACGGGTAGAGTCGAAGACCAGGCGTACTCGCTCATGGGGATCTTCGGGATCAATATGCCGACTTTGTACGGCGAGGGTGAGGGCGCTTTGCGGCGACTGCAGGAGGAGATCATGCGGCGGACTCCGGACCAGAGCCTCTTCGCTTGGGGAGGCGTCTTGCAGAACTTCCATGTTCACCGTGAACTTGACGCCGCCCGTCCGGGACCTGGAGCTCACCAGTATACCTGCAAAGAATACGTGGAACAGGCGTCCTTGTTTGCTGCTTTCCTCGACGGCTTCGAGGACGCCAGCGGCGTCAGACACGTTCCTCACGAAGACGTCGGCCGTCGTCTTCAGCTCTCGCCCCTTCCCCCGATTGAGTACACCTTCACGCCGCATGGTATTCGCACACAGCTACCTGTCAACTCCCTCTCCGCTTATCTCCCTCCAGAGGCGACAAGGTGTCATGACGGTCTGCCTCTCTCCCACTGGTACCTCGCCATCCTCGGCTGCGAACATAGCCGCCATCCTGACCACCTTCTAGGGAGGGTCTGCCATATACCGCCTTCACAATCGGGCATCGACTTCTTGTATCCCGGATGCATCGCGATTTCTCCCGACCCAGAGCCCGTCGGAGCCTGGTGGCCAGATCTGCTACCCTTGTCGCCAGCCACGATGGCGCGCTGTCTCCCGCACATCAAGCTCAAAGCGGTGTTCATATCCCACTCCAACCACGCTGCCCGGGCCTTAGAGATAGCCCGCAGTCTGCCGCACAAGAGGCTTGCCTTGACACTGTTGCGGAAGACTCGTGAGGCTCTACGTGCCCAGGGGTACGTCGGCGACCTCCGGCGTCCAGATCGACACCACCCCATGAGTCATGTGCTTACGCTGTCCAGCGAAGAATACACCATCGCTATCGAATATCGACATACGCTGAGACGCGATGGTCAACGACTGACAATGGGCGCACACCTCAGTGTATCGGAGCGCCTCGTAGGATCAGCCAGGGACGTCGATTCGCTCACTGGCGAGGTGTCGTGGTCAGATCGCCAGCCATGGTGGCCGTCACTTCTGGACAAAGGTATCACTTATCGTTTGGAAGGCAAGGAGCTGGACCTCGCGGGGCCATCGAGGTACTCCATACGCATTGTGATTCATTCCGACACGATGACTGCTCCACCCGTTGAGATTCAGCAAGAAGATGAGGGAGATGCGTGAGGGGCCGACGATGACACAAGGGCAATGGACTACGAAGGGGAGGACGAGACGCACCGCCGCGCGAACTTGAAAGAGGCTCCTAGCCAGAGCCGTCTAGCCTAGGAGCAGACAATGTGTCGACTGCACCCTTCTCTTGCTTCATGTTGTTTCCTGTGGTCAGCCCATACGTTGCGGTGGGACATATTCACCTGAGGAAGGAGTATATGTAACTCGTTGTCACCATGTGCTGTACTGCGGAGCTGGTCCTGCCAGTGCCTGTCTAGTAGTCGCGAATGCGCTTGAAAAGCATTGAGAATGATGTAAGCTGTCTATGCGTACTCGCTATCAATGAAAGCCACACTACCGCGCAGTCCGGAGCGCCAGCAGTCGCTAGATTGTGAGATCAGAGCCAGTGCGAAGTGACGCCAACCAGTCCTAGTCAAGACCTGTGCTAGCCTAGGGAGCACCCTTCCTTGCGTAGGTTGACGTTCTGATGAACTTCTGATATGCTGGAGAGGATTCGAGTACTTACTAGAAACCCTGATAGCCCGACACTGCCCCATGAGTATAGTTCCATTAGGATGTCATAGGATTATGTGGTTCCTTGCAAGGATAGATTGATTTTGTCCTTCCGAATGTATTGGTGCTGTACATGTTCGATCCTCACTACTCAGTCAGGCCTGGATTCATCGTTCTCTGAGATGCCTCTTTCGCGAATTGTCAGTGAATTCGATAGCAGCGCAGATATCTAGTCTGGTAGGGATCACGGAGTCACGAAGTGCTAGTGATGCTAGTTTTGAGAGACGATTGCCATACAGCGAATTAGCGATCCAACTTCTGAGTCAATCATCAAGGTATGTTCCAGTCCAGCGTCAAGACGCAAGCTCGATCAGAGGTTACGCGTCTTCTACGGGAGGTCTCGTTACGCATTGCACTGATATGAATGCGGACACAAGGGTGGACCGGCTGGCAGTGGCAAGACGCCCAAGTTCGATTGGTTCATAGAATGAGCGCCCAATGCCGCATATGAAATATCTAAATCCTGCGCAGTTGACACAGCCCTCAGTCATATGTGCTGGTTTGCTATTGGGGATAGGCAGCGCCCACTAGCCGATGTTCTGCTTACATAACGGTAGCGCTCAGATTTAAACAACGACTCTCATCTACGCGAGCTCAACTCGATCGAAAACGTATCTAGATTGTACTCCGACATGGACTGGGGTGGTATATGGAGGTTTGGAGTTCGCAACTGTGTTCAGACAAGGTGCAAAGGTGTAGTTTGAGTCTCGGAATTGACCAAAACCTGATATAGATGTTTGCTGACAGCTGTTACGTTAGGTGTGAAAGAGAAGCCTATTCTCGTCTCCCACCATCGATCATGTCCATCGCGCCGCCATCGCCCCCTCCACAAGCATCCCCCGTCTCTCTCTCGTCCTCACCATCTGACTCTGCATCCTCTTCAGCACCCTCCTCCTCCGGCTCATCAAAATTGTAAGTGTACATGGCCTCATCCCATACCACTCCAGCGATCAACAACAGTTCTTGGGCGCCCTGCCGCAGCATGCTATCTGTGTTATACCGCCGCACTGCACTCCGGAGCGCCCTCAGCATACGCCTCTTGTTCGACAGCTTAGTTTTGGTGGGGATCTCCCTTTGGTTCCGGTGAGCAGTATCTACCCACTCCCGATGCCAATCAAGCTGTTCATTTAGGGTTGCCACTGTCACCTTGGCCTTCTTCAAGTCCTGAAGCCGGAGGATCGGTCGCACGCCTTTTAGCCTCTCGAATCGTGCTGTCTTCTTTGCCTGGACAACGTCACGGTGAACGCGTTTTTTTGCTGCCTCGGACTCCTCTGCTTCGGCAAGTTCCCGTCGCCGCTTACGTTCCCGCCCTTCGCCCTCCCTCTCTCGTGCAAGTCCTCGGACGAACCCCAGCAAGGCTTGAGGTGCAGTCTGAGCGTAGGTCGAGGTATTGTTCTGCCTCCACATCACCCGAGCATTGTGCTGATCGATAGGCATGTTAGGTGCTTTCCTCTTCTCACCTCTATAGAATCCCAGCCCCCCTTCATTGCGGTCGTTGTTCTTCGGCATCGCAGCAAGGTTCTGCTGAGTTTCGGTGAGTCTCTCGATAACACCTCCAGGGGCGAATTCAATGGTGAATCGTTTCCATGTAACAAGTGCACCCTGCAGGAACTCGACTAGAAGGGGACGAAGATATGGAAGGTTCGCTTGTAGGTTCCGGATGCCCGCAATAGCGTCGGGTGAGTCCCATGGTTGTCCATCCAAGGTTGCTGATTCAGGTAAGGCGCTAGGGGATAGGAGGAGGTCGGGGTCATCAATGAGCTTCTGAACGTGTTGAATGAGGTGGTGGTGAAAGTCGACAAGAGTGAGGTAGTTAGGACGCTCAGGTGAGCGTACCGTACGCATGTAAGGATGACTGATAGCTTGTGAGTAGAGGGACAGGACACATAGCTCAGCGAGAGTGGGATAGTCATGTAGGCCGCGGTAGACGTTCTCTTCGAGATGGTTTAACTGACCAGAGTCTTTTTTGTCGCGTATAAGCTCTAGGAGTCTTCGGAACAGGTGAAGATATGCGACAAGCACTGATGCGGCATCACCGTACGATCCAGAGCGTGTGTTGCTGGTATCGGGGAAGGTAAGCAGTTTTCCTAGTAGCGATACTTCAAAGAAGTATCGTGCTGAGTCTTGCTGACCCTTCTTGTCATTTTTGTGGCGGAATGCAGATCCACCGAGCTCTGCAAGTTTGACTCCTCCGCCGCGCGATATATCAAGCGCCCGTTTCCGTGCGGTCGACGCGCCAGCAGCCGCAGCAGCGTCATTGTCTCGGTTCATAAGCAGGATGGGTCCTGCAAATGAGGACGTCGCCCAGTAAGCCATCATCCGAGTATTCCCCCCTTTGAACGCATTGAGCTCTTTGTGCATGCAGCATCCGCCGTGGATGAACATGTTGGCCACGAGACGCTCGGTGTCCGGTAGTGCGTTGTATGCTTCTTCTCCAAGACGGTTTGCGACTGATTGTTGTATCATCAGATTCTCTGTCTTGATCTCTTCGGAAGAGAGCTGGCTCCAAGCATCTGCACCACCGGCCCGTGCCACCGCTGCATTTGTCTCCTCCGCGAGCGCCAGAAGGAGTTCCGGAAGGGGTGCCTGAGCTACGGCTCTCTCCGTGCGCAACTCGCGAGACATCGCGAGTTTCCATTCATGGATGACTTTTGCAAGCTTCTTCTGGTCCTCGGCATGATCGGTCATCATTCCGCAGACCTTCGTCCAGAACAGCCGGGCATCAGCCTCTTCCTCTTGTCCAAGAGGGCTCGCATTGTACGTGTCGTGAAAGGATTGAATTATTGACTTCCATCCCTCAGCTTGAACGTTGCTGGTGTGGTTTGGCGCAGTAGTGATACCGAGTGTGTGTGTGGTGCTCTCACCATTCAAGGTGTTGAGTTGTATATGGCGAGATTCGTGTGGGATGTGCCGATGATGGGTGCCATTGCTACTCAGCGTCAGGCCTGTATAACTCTTGTAAGTGGTCCAAATTAGTTCCTAGATGCGTTAGCACTTACTATCTGCCTTTTTGATCTCATCGACTATCTGACACTCTGACAGCAGCTTCCCTTCGCCCATGATTCGGAGCTCAGTACGCTCGCTGATGTCGCCTTCAACGGTGATTCCTGCTGTGGCTGCAATACGAATGATTGCCTCTTTGATCTGCTTGGTGTGGATTCCAAGAGACATCAAGTCGCGCACCAGCATTCGCACGCTCTCGGAAACGACACCCCTCTCCTTGAGTTGAAGAATTCTCGAAGGTGAGTCTGCAATGACAGCTGCTGTCGCTGCTGACACCGCCTTGTCAATAGCACGTGCCTGCTGACTAGGGAACCGCTCGATGCGTCGACGCAGAGCAAGGTTCTCCTTACAAAGTGAGTCGACCTGTAGACCCAGATCTTCGGAATGTGTGATGGCTATACGGAGCTCATTCTGTACTGTCTGCCAGTGGTTGTCTGTGGGTGAGGTCGCCATAGAATGAGCCAGCTCCAGGTAAGTGTCCGCTTCATCTGAAGCAGCACAAAGACAGTGTTCCGCCTCGCGCTTCCGGATGTCTCCGATTGTTGCGGTGAGTGATCCTATAGAAGCCTCTAGATGTGTGATCTGTGTCGCGGCGACTAGGCGCGTAGACTCGGGTCGTCGTTCGGCGACGACCTCGTAGGCGAGCGGCGAGGAGCCGAAAGGGGGGAAGAGAGGGTAAGAGGGATAAACGTATCAGAAAACTCGACGGGGCAGAGCGGCGGTCGGCACGAAGGCACGAGACCGACGAAAGCTAGTCTTCACGCAGACAGCGACAGACTAGTCCCAATGACCAAGTTATACATTAGCACTCGAGGGGAAGTACAACGCTATGGTCACTCACCTAGTCCCAATGACCAAGAGGTCGAGATGGGGACTAGGGAGCGCCTAAGGGGGTCCTTATATACTAGAGGAGCTGCTTAGCAACCAAGGACAAGGCGCGAGAGCGAGGCAGTGAAGATGACAAAGAGAGAACAAAGGGCGAGAAAGAAAAGGCAAGGGCATGGCGATCACGGGAACGTAGCATGCGGCTGTGGGAACGTATCTACAGTGTCCAAATTGGGATGGGCTAGAAAAGGAAATGGTCCGCAAATGGAAGGTGGGCGTCAAAGGGAG